CGACTCCTATGGTGCGATTTTCATTAGAGAGGGGCTGGAGAGAGGAGTGTTGGAACAGCCCTCCAAACCCAGCCATGAATATTAAACATAATACAATTACAGCTTTCGGACCAGTTATTTTTCTTTTCAGCAGGCAAAGTTGATGAAATACTCGCTACGAGAGGGATTCACAGTGTCTCTACCATTGGCTGCTTTTTGTCCCTGGAATCAGTGGTCTTGGCATATTTCTGTGCCCATTTGCTGTGCTACCTGTGTCCCAGTGGCGAGTATTTGATTTGCATGCCGAGGATACAGGCTTTGCCAGGGTACGCTGCGGTTCAGGTTGGTGCCGCACGCTGTCAGCTGTTCCGGGCAGACACCGGGGTCCTTAATGCGAATTTGAACGGCTCGTGTGGATGTCGCACACTGGTGTTTGCTGTTTCTGTCTGTCAACAAGCAACCAGGATGATGTCTCTGGGAGGAGACACCATATAAACGCTTTTCCTTTTTCCTGTGGGGACAAGTCCAAGTCTGTTTGGGCCCATTTTTGTTTTCCTTGGTTGTATAAAATACACAAATACTGCATCTTTTGGTTTGTTTATTTTGTTTGGAGCCATCCACGCTGATATCTAAATACAATAGGAAAACAGATGGCAAACTTTGAACTTCTGGACCGAATTTGTGTTTGCCTTTGTCTCCTTAACAGCCAAACTGTAAATTATGGAGTATAAATATTCAACAGAGGAGCTCTTGATGAAAATCACCACAGCAGAGTAGACCCTTATTAACCAAGTGTGTGCTGACAAGTACTCAAGCTAACACTTTCTTTCCCCATGCGTTTCAAGTTCCCACCAGTAAGCAGCGCAGCCGCCGCAGCTACAGGCTGAACTCCTTATACAGCATTGATACCTGTTCTCCCTTCTCTCACCCGCAAATGCCTAAAGTGTCTCCACGTGCTGACAGAAGACCTTGGTTTGCAACGTTCTCTCTGCACCTCTCGGGTCCCCGACCCTCCCTGGGACATGGGGGCTTGGATGGCGCGCGATAGTAACAGAGCCCTTCATTGATATGGTTCGCCTGGCTGGTTACCGGTTCTAGCCAGAAAGAATTCCTGGATCTTTGCTCTGTGCTCTGAGACTGCGTGTTTCTAAAACCCTGTTTTGTTTAATACAGAACATGTGTTCGGTGGTGTATGTGAGGGCTGTGCAGTTTAGAGGAGCAGAATACCTGTGCACGCACCACCCAGCGCCTCCGAAGCCCCCGTGCCCCTCCCCGTCAGGAATGAGTTCGTTTCTTAAAAAAACACAGCAGTGTCTAGAATAAAAGGTAAAAGCTGCCTTTATTCCCCTCATTCTTCAGTTGCCATTCTTCCCCAAGGTAACGTGTTACCAACGCAGGTAGGTCCTTCCAGGATTTTATCTTTCATTTTTTTCAGTTTTACTTAAACAGGTAACCTACACATTCAAAACTGAATTCAAAGGCACAAAGACATATATAGGGAGAAGCTAGGCTTCTAGGAACCGCTCTTCCCACAAAGCCTTGTCATCCTCTTCAGCAGCAACTGCGTACTAGTTAGGGTCCCCAGGGGGGTGTATACCCCCCAGCTGTCACACGGCAGGGCCCCAGGGTCTTCACCTATCGCAGTGCCTTGGTGATGGCTGCCTATCGTATGTATAGCTGTGCCTGATTCCCCAGTGGCTGCGCGGGGCTCCGCTGTGGGATGCAGCGTAATTGCTTTAACTAGCACTCGACTAATGGAACCAGTTAATTGTGCATCTAAATTCATGACAACTTAAATGTTGCTTCTAATTTTTCCTGTCAGTCTAATTATTGTTCCTTAATAGGGAATGTCTTTTTTCTTTAGGTTGCTTTTGAGACTTTTTTTGACTTTCGCGTTTTCCCACTTTATTATGATACTCTTAGATACGGATTTGTTTATTCTGATGAGTGGTCTTGAGTGTGAGTATGCATCTCTCATCAATTGTGGAAACAGTTAACTATTTGATTGTCACTTCTTTGCCATGCCCTGTTTTTTCCTTATGGAACTTCCTTTGAACATATGCTGAACCGTCCCCTCCTTCCCCTCATTCACATTCTTAATGAAAGGACCCCGGAGCTGTATGTACCAAACTTATCTTTACTAGGCAGACAGGTGGCAAGTGGTGTATTGCACTGTAGTTTTATTTCACAACTTCTCATTACCATGAACTTGAACATCTTACACATGTTTCAAAGCCCTTAGCATTTCTTTTTCTGTCAACTGTTTTTTCGTATCTTTTCTCTCTTTAATATTGGGTTGTCAATCTTTACTATCAATTTCAATGAATTTTTTTAAAGCAATTAGTCTGTTCTGTTGCCAACATTTTCCCCAGTTTATCATTTGCCTTATGATTTTTTTTCCCCTCATGTGGGAAAAACAAACCATTTTATACAGTTACCAGTATTTTCCTTTTTTACTTCTTGGTTTTTTGTTTTTGTTTTTTTTCTATGTTTAGAAAGGCCTTCCCTATTCTGAATATTTAGAGTTTAATTATATTTAACGCTTTGAGCCCTCTATAATTTATTTTAGTATAATGTACATGGTAGAACTCTAAGATGAGAAAGTTGTTATAGGGTATTTTGCCTTTAATTACTCTTACAAGGGGGGGGTCTTTGATTACATTTTTAAAACTAGTAATTGTTTATACCTAAGACAGCTATTGATGTTAACATTAATTTACATTTGATTCTGAACTATCTTGGATTGTCATCTCTAATGATAAATTTACCCACCTCATTTTCTTTTAATTATGTCTAATTTGTAAAAACAATGAAATAGTAAAAGTAGAGCACTATTTTTTAAAGACTTTTCATTAGGAATAAGTGTTATATTTCACCAGATTTTGTTTCAGCATCCATGGAAATCACCATGTGTTTGTTATAATAATGTGAATTATACTAATAGGTATCCTGGGTGGATCCTTCTTGTTTGCAGAGTATCACTGTGGATTCTGTTAGCTACTGTTTTATTCAGGTCTTAGCTAATGCAGATCTATAACTGTCATTCATCGTGCTGTCATTGTCTGAGATTCTGGTAATATAATAGAGTGCTGGCTTTATGCAAAGAGTTTGCAAGTGTTATCCCTTCCCGTGGACCAGTGGCCACTGCCCTGGGGGGGGCTGTTCCTTCCAGACTGGGCCAGTTTCACTGGTTCTTTTTTGCAGGGATAGTTGTTCCTTGACAGCTTCCCATATTTGTGACTTTATTTGGATTTTCTGTCCCTGAGGAGTCAGTTTTGATAGTTCTTATTTTCCTAGGAAATCATTTATTCATCTACGAGTACATTTTCAAATTTGGAGATTTAAAATAACTCAAGAAGTGGAAAACCTGAGTAGATTATAATGACTAAGGAAACTGAATTACTAAAAAAAGGGGGAGGGGAGATCTACCTACAAAAAGGAAATTAGGGGGCTGGCCGAGTGGCTCAGTTGGTTAAGAGCTCGCTCAAGAGTGCGAGCTCTGAGCAACAGCAGTTCAATTCGCAGCCTGAGCTGAGCTGCTACTGAGCTGCCAACAGGTGGCAGGATGGCTCAGCTAAAAAAAACCTATATGGACCTAATTTCTTTCTTTTTTTTTTTTCCTGGCAAGTTTGACCAGTTAATGAAGTACTCTCATCTACTGCTTTTTGCTCCAAAATCCCTTTCCGAGTATTAAAAGGATCGCCTCTCTTCCTTGTCACCACAAACGTGCCTTTTGTGTGTAGCATATATTGAGTTTTGCTTTGTGACCCATTTGAAGCACTTGTTAATAGGTGGGTTTGTCCTGTGTGCATCTGTTGACCCCACACTCAAGTTGGGTTTTACTCAAGCCATCTGTCTCCTCGTAGTACACTTAGCGTTTGTTTTACACGTTGCTACTACATGGCCTGTGTGCTGGCTCCTCGCAGTTCTTCGGAATTTTGCTGTGTCACTTTCTTTCAGAGAGTATCCATGGGTAGTTCACTTTGAGTCCTTTTCTGTTAAAAGAAAACAAAAACAAACTCTTCATTATGCCTTCAAATTTGGGAGATGAGCTAAGGCATAGACTTTTCGGTTTAAAGTAATTTTGTCTCCAAACTCTGAAAATCATAGGTTTGTGTGTGCATGCTCATATCACTAAGAGTTTAGGACATGGAACATGGTTTAGATAGCCCCTTCTCACCACATGTTTTGTATGAAACACGTTTCTGATCACATTTAACACTACCGTTATGTGTACCCAGCTCCCCGGCTAAGTGGTAGGGCTTTTTCCTTTTTGACATATAGCATAGGGTCTGTTCACTTCACCTGGACAGAAATTTTGCTACATTCAGTTTTAGGTCATGTGGCTTATTTCAGCAACTAAGTATGTTGTTGTTTCTGGTGGATAAGAGATTTCTGTTATGCTTAGTCAACCATAGATGCTCCCTTTCCAAATTTCACTAAGATGGTGATGAACTTACAAAGCTGAGTTAAAATACCTGAAAGGTGTTCTTTTCTCAACCAGGTAAGGGTTGGTGCTGCAGACAGTAGCGGCTGGTTTACCTCTTGCTCTTACCAGAATATTATACCACCAGCAACATTTCCATGCTGAGAGTTAAACTCGCCCTTTGGACAGCCTTTGCAGGCTGACGCCTGTGTGGGGCACAATGCCCATCAGATCTCAGCGTCCCTTTCCGTGACCTGTACCCAGGACAGGTGTCTTCCCTGTGGAGCAGATAAAGTGAGCGACGGGGCAGCTAAAGGATTTGTCCTGAGTCTCCCTCGTTCTGTGTGCTTTTAAGTCATTCTGATTAAACAGTCATGGGTACTCTAAACTAGTTCCTTGCTATTGCCACTTGGCTTCCTATGACAGACTGCTAATAAGGAGATTACGTTTTATATCAGCATTTGGTTGTTTGCAACCAAAAGGGTTTTATCGTCTTCATTTTCATAGGCTTGTTGTGCATAGATCAGCACAACCGAGGAGGAAGCTGTCGTCTCAGGCCTTAACGTCTAATCTCTGTGCTCATTGGGCCTTCCAGGGTGAGGATCCATGACCTCCGCAGTGACAAAATCGCCCTGTCACTCTCTGCCCACCAACTTGGAGTGTCTGCAGTCCAGATGGATGACTGGAAGATTGTCAGCGGAGGCGAGGAGGGCCTGGTCTCTGTGTGGGATTATCGGATGAATCAGAAACTGTGGGAGGTACATTCCAGGTAAGGCTGTTTCTCGGTGTTTTTAGTAATGACAGTACTGATAATACTGGTCAACCTCTGTGCCAGGCACTGTGCTCAATGCCACCCGTGTGTTATAATCCTCACCATAACCCGAGGAGCTGGCTGCAGTCATCTCCATCTTTCAAATGACGAAACTGAGGCTCAGAAATGGAGCTGATCATTGGAGAGGCACTTCCTGTCTTACACTGTGAAAATTGCCATAATTCCTACCCAGCTCAGGTACAAGCCACGTGGGACTCCCCACCGAGGTGCAGGCGCTGCAGGCCCCTTCCCGCAGGTGGCCGGTGGGGCTGGCCCAGGCCCGCCTTCCTCCACTTCAAAACGTCTCAACCTGCAGGGTGTGATTTTTTGCCCTTTCTTGGACTTTCCTTACACTGTTTAGAAGGGCACTTAGGACTGAAAATATTTGGGCTTGAACTAAATAGGAATTTGCAATTTCAACCTTTAACCCTAATATTCAAGAGATAAAGAGGTACTCTCCCAAGGACAGGCGGATGGCTTCACGGATGTGGGTACCTTTATACTAATGGGGCCTGACTGGCTAGACATTTTTTATCTTGCTCCTGACCGTTAAAGCAGAGGCATCCTGAGGTCACCCCCATCTCATCCATATTGCCCTCCAGGCCTCCAGCGGCGAACCCCCCCGGGAAGATGTGAGCATAATAAAGGAGGGTGTACAAGATGGCAAGGTCTGTACATGTGACCTGAGATTTGTCCCCACTCAAATCATGCTAAGTAGCCCTAGGAGAAGACAGCACAGTCTTCATTTAAGTACAGGGTCAAGTACAAGAGGTGGCAAGGTTCAAAGAAGAATTTGGTTTCTTCCTTGGAGGGTAGTGCTAGCGAGTGCCTCAGCCAGCAACACCGATCGGACTAGAGCCCTGGATGAAGTCTGCGCTGCAGGCCTGCCCAGCCCGCAGCCCCTGTGCTGCTCGGCCCACTGCTGCCCAGGCCTTTTCCCACCTCTGTGGTGATGCACTGCGTTGCCACCAGGTGGCGCCAAAGGGCAACTAAAACTCCCACTCGGAGGCCCAGAAACGTTTGCCTTTAAGGAAACCCTTATTTTAGAAAGCTGGCTCAGCCTGGCCTCTAGGACAGCTCCTGACCCAGGGACTGCCATCAGCCCCTCCCCCAGTTGCCACCAGCAGTGCGTTTAGTTCACTAGGCCTGCACTCCAGCAGATCTCATTTTTCTCTCCCTGAAAAGCTGCACTCCTGTGGATGAGCCATGCAGGTGAAGCGAGGGTAAGTATGGTCTTCCCAGAACTGTCGTCCTGTCCCAGCATTTGCCTTCCTAACTCATTTGTGAACGCACATCCAGTTGTCACCACCGGTTAGTGGCTTGTCCCGCACAAGGTCACCGTTTCCACCAGAACAAGGCTGATGGCTCCCTCCTCAGTCTTCTGCCCAGGGGCCGACCGTGTGCTCACTCAGGCCCTCGGACCTGCCACTCTGCTGCTACGACCCTCTTCTGAGCTCTGGTCCCGCTGTCGCTTGGTCAGCTTCCTGTCCGGCCCCACTTCAGCCTCTTCCACCGAACTCTCCAGGCCCCCCCCACCGCTGCTCAGCCAGCTCTCGCTTGTCTGCCTCTTTCTCTCGGTGGTCCCGTCAGTCACCCAGGCGAAAGCTGGGACTGAGTCCTGATCTTCCCCTTCCGTCTTCCTCGAGTCTTATTCACACCCACCCTTTGCTTTCCCGTCCTCCTGCCTCACTGGGCTCCCAGCGACACCCTCCAACAACCCCTTCCCCCAGTGGCTGCTGCAAACCCGGGGCTGACAGGGCTCCACTTCACTCTCGTTACTGTTGAGAGTGCTCTGCTCTGGCCACAAAGCCTGCACCCAGCCACCCTGTGTCTCCTGGTTCTCCTCCCAAGTGCTGAATTCTGTGTCCCATCTTTGTGTCCTGTAACATCTCTCATGCTCTGGAAACATGGGCTGTGTCTTGTGGGAACATATCTTACCGTCTTAACTAGTTAGGCAGCTCTCTGGTGGCAGTGTCTGCTTGCGCTCAGCATTTTTGTCATCCTGAGTCCCCCGGCTCCACGCTGCGACCGTAGTGGGCACTGCATAAGTTTTTAGAGTGAGCAAAAACCTTTGCTGCGTGGACTTCAAGCCACTTTATTCCAAGGTTTTCTGAATGTGCCGTCACAACTCAGCATACACGTGTCACGTGTAGCCCTGGCTTTAGGACTAGGGGGCCTTTTAGGGATCACCACTGAATACCCCACACACACACCCTGCACCTGGGGACCCTGGCTTGGAGAGCTCGAGGGACTTGTCCCAGGCCAGCCGGGGCAGGGTCAGAAACGGGCTGTTCTCTACAGGTGCTGCCGAGTTGATCCTTTCTGTCCCAAACACACCATGCTGTTGGGGCATTCTGCCAGAATGCATAAGGGGCGTTCGGACTTGTTTACAGCGGTGCCCAGAGCGTGGCCTGGCTCAAACTAGCTCTGAGAGCCGAGGCCAGACAGCCCCTCTGGGGCCCAGTGTCTTCCTCTGAAAAGCAACGCCTGGCTTCGAGGGTTTTCGAGTCCCCTACAGCCATTGCTGATGTGCTCCGCCTCGGCAGGACTCGCCTTTACGAGCGTCCTCCCCTCCTCCCCCTTGTGTTGCAGACACCCCGTCCGCCACATCTCCTTTAACAGCCACAGCCTCATCACAGCCAACGTGCCCTACGAGAGGGTGGTGCGCAACTCCGACCTGGACGGCTTCGCCACGCACAGGAGGTCAGTGGGCTGGGCTGCGTTTGTGGTGGTTCAGAAAACCAGTTCCACCATGCCGCATTGTTCCCTGCGGGCATGCTCGCAGACACAGCCAAACAGACGCACCTGGGGGGTATCAGCAGATCACAGATGCTGAGTGCCTGGGGGAAGCGTTTCTCCCACGGTAGCTCACGCTTCTGCAGGTCGGCTGCGTGGGGTTGGGACAGAGAGGCAGTGCTGGCCCTACGTGCCGAGAGCCCGTCAGAGGGCTCAGGGCCCTGGTGGTTAGAGTCCTAGTCACCGTGGTGAAGGCCCAGGCTGAGTCCGCCTGCTCAGTCTGCTGGGTGACTCAGGTGACTTTTCTTATTAGACTCTTGGCCTGGCTTCTGAGCAGCCTCTTTGGCGGGGCCGGTGCCTTGCCTCCCAACATTTAATTCCCTCCATCACACCTGTTTATCTCTAGTCCCGGGATTTTCAATGTCCGACACATGGGGCCCAAAGGATACACCTGTTAAAAGGAATTGCTCTCCTGTCTGAAGGAGATGGCTGCTGCAACGGCAGAAGCCGCAGTGCAAAGCCGGCCCCCTGCCCTGACCCTGTGGCCATCTCTGCTCTCCCCAGACACCGGGGGCTGATCCACGCCTACGAGTTCGCAGTGGACCAGCTGACCTTTCAGAGCGCCGTCCCCGTCTGCCGTTCATCCTGTGACCCCATGGCGGGCCACAACTACGACCTCGCACTGGCTTTTCCCTACGACAGCGTTTAAGGAGCAGCCTCATCTGGGAGCCGGGAGAAAACGGGAGGAACCAGCTTCACGGATTCGAAAACAGAGGCGCTCTGCACCAGGTTTTAAACGCGACCCCACGTTCCTGAACGGCCTTTGCTTTTCTCCTGCTGCCTGTGGACAGCTGGAGTGTGTCAGGGCTCGGGTCCTCTTGCTCTGCTCCTGGCTCACGGCCCTGCGGACCGCCACACACGGATGACTCAGAGCGTTGCCTCCCACACACACACCTCACCCTGCGGCTGCTCCCTGCCTGCCTCAGGCAGCCCCCCAGCCATCCTTCTGGCTCAGCGGGGCTCCCTTCCCCCCGGATGCCTTGGGGATCTCCCCAGCACCGCGCACACTACAGGGCTGTAGTTCCAGATCAGGCCCGGCACTGTGAACAGGCCCGTGGGGCTCTGCTCCCGCCGGCCACCATCCCCGTCTCCACACCCTTTCCCTTGTGGGGCCTTTGGATGTGCTGGTCTCTGAGTCTACAAGGCCCCAATGCCCGCCCGTTCTTAGGGCCTGAGAGCAAGTGCTCAGCGGGTGGTCTTCCCTGCCCACCCCCCAGTGTAACCTGCAACAGCAGTACCTTCCCCTCAGAGCTTTTACCCCAGTTTATAATTACATATTTATACCATTATTTCATTAATGATTGTTTTGCTTACTATGGTGTCTACAACGTGTGATCCAAAGTAGATATTTCCTACATAGTCACTGAATAAACAACCATCCTCTACAGTGAGTGAGAAGGGGAGGCAGTATCGGAGGAACCATCATGTCAAACAGCTAAGACAAAGCAGGTAACACGAGGGGACTGTCCGTTTGATAAAGAGCTTCCATTTCCAAAGGATTCAGAGGGCGCACCGTTGCATTCCTCGTGATTTAGTGCGCTCAGCAGCCGCCACCTAATACACCTTCAGAATATCAAAGCAAAAATGGACCGACAGAGACAAAATACATGCTCATAGTGAGTGAGCAAAAGATTTAAGCAGCAACAGGATTTACTTAATTTACAAGCCTGATCCAACAGCTGTATATATAGGGTTTGTACCTTTTCAAATACCTGTAGACCATGCACAAAAGATGACCATGTATGAAGACCACCAAGAAAATCCCAGATTGCACAGTTTGATACCGTACAGGCCAGACTTGGTGACGCCCCCAATGCAATAAAAGTAGAAATCAACAAAAAGCTAAATAAGGAAACAAAAAACATCTACCTGCAAATGGCAGACACTCCTGAATTAACTTGGTTTTTTTTTTTTTTTTTTTTTTTTTTTTAGCTGAGCCATCCCGCCACCTGTTGGCAGCTCACGGCTGCTCAGCTCGGGCTGACTTGAACCACTGTTGCTCAGAGCTCAAACTCTTGAGCGAGCTCTTAACCAACTGAGCCACTCAGCCGGCCCTTAACTTGGTTTTAAAGAGGGAAATCAAAATGGAAAATAGGCAGCCTCTCCCTAGACCAGGCTGACAAAGCCCTGACCATCATCAGAACCCAGGGGATGAGGCCGGAATGGGAGTGAGAGAAGGTGTGGCTTTTATAGATGCAGTAAGCTGTCACCTCAGAAAGCTTCAAAAGGTAACAATGATCCCAAAGAAAGGAGAAGGAAGGAGTTAAATAAAGGATAAAAACACATTAATGAAGTAGAAAACCAATAAACAGTAACATTTCATAAAGCCCAAAGCAGTTTTTCCTTTTTTTTTTTTTAAAGACAAAAATACACAACTCTTAAGAAAAAGCAGGGGGTACAGGGACTGTCAGGAACAGGAAGGGAGACAGTTATGGACACGAAATAAGCATTTCCAGCGCAGGGACAGTGGCTTTCCTGTTGTCCACGAGCGTATAAAACTGGGACATGCATGCCGTTACTCAAAAGCCCTTTAGACCCTTGAGTTGTGAAGGTTTTGGGAGGTTTTTCAGATTGCTTAAGAGATCCAGTTAAAAATCCACATCCAGCTGGATGCACAGGAGAGCGCGCTGCGACTGGGACCTTCACGTCTCAGCCCAGGGAGCACTGCTTTCTCTCAGGCTGCCTTTCTGGGGGGAGGCCGCACTGTCTGGTGGCGGCCTGCTTCCTTTCTGCCAAACTACTTCATACACCAAGCCAGTCTGCATTTAGCAAATGAAGTATTTACTGTCATTGGCATGTGGTGGCCTGACCCCCTGGTGACCTCACTCTATAAGGTTTTCATCTCTCGTAGTCTTAATGCAACCGGACCACGGGCTAAAATGATTTTTCTTTTAAAAAGCAGTCCTTCTCAGTCAGATTTCATAGTCCATTTTGCCTTCCTCGCTTTGAGGCAATTGAAGAGAATTGAAGAGTTTAAAAGCGATCAGACCCAGAAAAATTTTACTAAAACTAAAAGTAATTTTAAACTATTCTTATTCATGGCCAACAGCTGGTCCAGTGTAAAATGTTACAAGGGCAGGGTTTTGTTTTCTCCCCCAACCTGTTTATAACATATCTCCCCTTCATGAGCGGTGCCTGGGTTTTGTGAAGGAGAGTTTATCAGACCCAAATCATAATCTAAGCACGCCACCCTCGTTCACTGTTTTCCTGCTGTAAATTTTCCATTCTGGAAGAGATGGGCCTGATGCGGAAAGGGTCAAAGTTCCTTTATAAACCAGCATTTACCCAGCAACAACAAAACAATCTGGGCCCCCTCCGTCCACCTTCTGCTCCTCCCGCCTTACCTTTCTCCCTGGTGGCTATTTTGAGAGAGGCTTCTTCCCAAGTTCTGAGTTGGTCGTGCATTTATCGTCTCTTTTCCTTCTGCAGTCTTCTGCTTCTCAATCCCTTCCCCCGCCGTCTCCCCTACAGACAGAAGAGACTCAGATACGCTGTGGGGAGCGGGGAGCAGGGGGCGGGCAGAAGGCCAGACCACAGGCTCTGCTGCCTTGTCTCAAAACTGTACGACTTCTGCTTTCTGCTTGATACTGTGTCTATGTGCGTTCTAATATTAAAGTCTTAAAATTTATGTATTGCTCAAGTGATTTGTCACCCAGCACACCACTTCAGCTCTCCCCCCACTCCTGGAAACGTCACCCTGAATGGTGGCCTGGTTCTGAAGTCCACCACTGAGCAGTTTTTCCCAGAACCACCACTACAAGGTTCCCAGCCCAGGTTCCAGGAAACCCACAAAACTACACACGTGAAATTGGGCATCAGGGCATTTTCTGAGAATTGCATCTCTGCCGCTAGATTGTGCTTTTTAAATCCAGGCCATGTGCTGCTGTTGCTCAGGCAGTAATTCACGTTTAAAAGAATCCAGGACGTTATCACCCTCCTCTGACAAGTAGAAACCTCAGCTTGGCTGACTGGGTTTCCGCTGATCAGAGGAAACACTGAATTTCCCCAAGAGTGGAGAGAGTTTGGGTCCCTTCTGAAAGGGAAAGCTGACAACCCCGAAGATGAAGTCTTCTTCCCCCATAACTCCCTCGAGAACTAAAGGCCTCACATTTAAGAGGCTAGTGCTTCCCACTCTATCTATGACCGACCTTGGCCACCGCAAACCAGCTTTGCCCATCCTTATAGAGAAATGGCTTCCCCTGGTGCGGGCCCAGCGTCGGTGGCCTGCCGTGACACGGGCTTAGACGGGATGTCTCCTCCTTCCTGCCTTGGGGCCTTGGCTTTGGGCAGCAGCTGCGGCGGCCCTGCGCTTGTGGAGCTGGCCGGCCTGGGCCACCGTGCTGAGAGCCACACAGACCTGCTCCCCTCACCCCGCGCGGCCAGGCCAGATGGTTACCTGGCGATGGCTGCAGGGGCCTGCGGTGATTTGGACATGCAGCCTCTGATGTGCGATGGCAGAGTCCCTCTCGCTGGGCGCCGGCGGGTGCCATGTGGGCGCCGACTCGCTCTCAGCCTCTGATGTGGAACGTGGGCTTCCAGCAGCAGGCTTCCAACAACAGCTCGGCACCAGAGGCCTTTTCTTGCCCTAGGAAGGGAAGGGAGGGAGGGAAAACTCCCCCCTCCCCGAGAGCGGAGCCTTTGTGTCCTGCCGTTTCTTCCCTTGCCCAGTGCTAGGATGAAGGCTGCCTTGTCGTTTCTCTAAAATGCAGGTGGCAGCAAACTGCTCCCAGACCTGCCGCTGCCCATCAAAGGCCAGAACCCAGTCCCTTGCTGACTTGCTCCACGAGCCAGCTAGAGGGGCAGGCAGCCACCACGTGGCCGTCAGCCTTCAGCCCTGCTGGGGCCTAAATCATCCACCCACTGAACCCCTGTTGGTACTTGTTTACTGATTCTGGAATATTCCAGAGAAAAAGGCGGCCCTGGTGCCCTGGGAAACTGGTTAAGCCCCTGGCTCCTCCCACTCGATTCTCCAAGGCCGTCCCAAGGTCACTGAGTGGGAGGACAACTTGCAAAGCAGGTGTTTGCAGAACACCTTACCAAGGCAACTTGTATTTTTAACTGCACCAGCCTACGTGTCACGGTGCCATCCGCAGCGACAGTTGAGCTGCAGCCTTGTTAACGGCAGGCAGGTGGGGACAGGTTCAACTGCCCGGTGACAAGGATCACATCCATACGTGACCCCGTCTCCCATTAGCAGAGCACAAAAAGAACTCTCCAGTCCCTTGGACCAGAAGATAATGGAATTGTTTTGTTAACGTCTAGCACTAATTCGTTCCCTGGGACGGTGCTTGGCCAAAATTGGAAGCTGTTGTAATCTTACTCTGTTCTCTTATCCATAATTCATGTTTAACGTGGCTGCAGGATGTTTCCCCTGAGCTGCTCAGATTAGATTTCCATTACATAGCCCTTTTGTAAACCTCCCAAATTGCTGTGTTTGTGTCAAATGGCCGTGTTCATCCAAAGCCTGAGTTCTGGTAACTCTTCCCCATGGTAACATGGCCGGGTAGGACGACATCCTGCTTCTGACCTGATTCCAGGGTAACGAGCTTATCCAGAGAGCAAGGACCTCACCCCGCCATCCACCGGGCCGGCTGGAACACTGCCCCTGCCCTGGCTTCTCCACCCCCAGCCTGAGGCCCTCACAGCCCTGACGTATCAGCTTCCTTCAAATATTTGACTTTGCACTGATTTCTGCCTATTTCCTTTTAGTCACTGGTATAATTCCTGATAGAAGGAAGGCTGTTACCCAGTGTACCTGTTGGACTTATCACATGCCTATTTTAGAACCAATCTCAGAGCCAACGTCACCTGCTTAGATGCGGCGCCTCATCCAGGGAGGGGTGGAGGGCTGCTGCGCTTGCTAAGGGTCTGTGCAGCCAGAGGGCCCCTCCTGGGCATGCCCGAGTCCAGGAGGTAAGAGGAGCCTTTTCCAGGCCACCTGCCTCGGTCCTCTGCACACACCACACTGCCCAGATGGCATTCTGAAATCTGTGCCCAGAGCAGCGACCCTCAGCCTTGTTAATCAAAGGCCAGCAGTCCCACTAGACTGCGGGGAATTAATCCTTTTCAGGAGGTTTGCACCCGCTAATAGCCAACCCCGTCACTCCCCAAAGAACAGAATGAGCAGACGCCCAGTCTCATGGTCGCAGCGCCCTGGAGCGGGGCAGGAGGGCTCCAGGTGAGCTCGGCAGCTCACGCATTGGTGGAAACGAGCCCGAACCCTCCCTGCCAATCAGAGGGCACCCTCAGTGGCTGTGAACAGATGAGCTTTCTTTCGAGCTGCATGGACGGGGCTCCTGGTGAATAAATCTCCCTTTAATTAGCTGTTTAAGGTAAGCCATGGCCCAAAGCTTCCCAGACACCAGGCCGGCCCCCTCTGTGGCCTGAACAAGTGGAACCGTTTGATGCGTGCCCACATCTCCCAAACTCAAGCCCGGGGCACAGGCGCTGGTGGAAGATTTATTATTTATAAAACACTTTACATTAATGAACTGCCTTTGTCGAGAAGAACAAAATGAAAGCAAACTGGGAGAGTCCCAGGAAATCCAGGCCTACTCTGGATCCTGCTGCTCTGTGACCACCCACGGGTCCATCTCCCAGGAAGGACGCGGCGCGCGGGGAGGGAGACGCAGGGGTGTCGCTGGCGATGCCGCCTGGACCAGGGCTAACAGGCCCCAGGTTCCCCCACGTCAGTCACGCAGCCCAGTGACTTTCTAGATCCCTCCTCCTGCTAGCAGCCAGGAAACCCAAGGGTGTGAGAGCAGGATGCTCCCAGCAGCAGGGGAAGGCAGGGCAGCGGGGAGGGAGATGGCGCCCCACTCCCCCGATCCCAGAAACTGCCTGGGTGTCTGCTTCCTACTTTCTAGGCTTGGTCCTCCCGCCAGATTGCAGCCCCTGGAGGGCAGGAAGCAGAGAGCGGCCTTCGCCCCAGACCTGCTCTGAATGTCTCAACGTCTGTGGAGTGAAGAGCTCGTCTGAGCAGAGCTCTGCAAGTGACTTCAGACCGCCCTCTTCACTTACCCTGAGACTGGGCCGTGTGACCTCCGACTGCCAGCATCAGGGAGAACGGGGAGGCTGCAATCCGCGGCGGCCCGGTCCAGGCCAGCGATCCTCCAGCACGGAAGACTGGGTTCCGAGGCCCTGGCCCCATCCTGCCGCGTGCTGACCAACGACGGACACAGGCGGCCTCCTCACCTGGGAGGCTGTGCCAAACTGCCACCCCTGGGACCTCTGCCAGTCACTGGACCCTTTATCTCACCTCGCTGCTCTTTTCCTTTTTAAATTCACATACCGACATTAACCTCATCCTGAGCAACATTATTTGCTTCTGTGTACATGACGCAGCTCTGGAAAGATGTGGAAGAAAGGGGCTAATGTGATTTGCCTGGGGGGGGGAGGGAAAACGGGGGGCCAGGCCAAGAACAGGATGAAGACTCCATGGCGTGCCCGTCTGTACCTTTTAAAGTCTGAACCCCAATGTGTGGGTATAACAAAAGTAATCTAAAACACACTTAATATCAAAACAATGAAATAAAAACTCAAGAATGCAAATAGCAGTTCTCAGGAGAACTTTCTTACAAGGCTAGAACGGTGCCTCCCAGTGAGTGTGAATAAAGGAACTGAGCATATGGTAAATGTGACAGCCAGGAGGAGGCCTGGAACCAAATGGTGACGAGCCACCACAGCCATGGCAGCAGGGCGCCCCGAGGACCAGCTAGGCGGGGTCGACATGTGCCAGCCCTCCACTGACTCAGGCCACAGCCACCAACTGACTCGAAGCACCTTTGCTTCCCTGCCCTCACACAGCCCGTCCCCCAATCAGAAGCTGACAACAGGTGTGAGATGCTTACCTGGGCAGCCACCTCTCCCGCTGTGCTGTCTCCACTGCTGCTACTGCCGCTGGGGACTGTGAGTGCTGGGCCCTGCAGCTGCCCACCCCATCCTGCCAGGAAGGGCCATGGCACACCCAGCCTGAGCACCTGGAGTACCCCCAGCACCACTGGGGGGGGGGGAACAGGCATCTTGGGCTGTCACTGCAGCTGGCACAGGCTCTAAACGTACGTCCTGACACAGGAACTCTACCACCCAAATCCCGGCCTCCATGGAGCGAGGACCTGCTTTGTGCCTCAGATCAAGAAGGCAGATGAGTGAAATCCCAGCACTTCTGCAGGGAAAACAGCCGGTGCTTTACCAAAAGAAACCAAAAACAGAAAGGAGGAAAAAAAAAAAATCCCCTCTTCCAAACCAGCCTTTGAAAACAAGTTAGCTCCTGCATGCTCCTCATACTCAGCTCGTGCCACCAAATGGCCAGGCCACTTGAGTGGATGTGAGGAACACACACGAGCCACGTTCATTAACAAACCCTGTTCTTTTTTTATTAGAGATAAAAACAGCAAAGTCCCACATACCATCCCCTATGAGAAACGCGAGCTGGCCGAGTGTTAACGGCATACCAGAGCTGCCGCAAAAGGCCCCTGGGCCCCCTCCGCGGGGAGACTGCCCTGTGCGAACTGCAGGTTCTCCGTGGGCGTGGGCAAGGCAGCGCGTCAATGGCAAAGGGCGATGGTTTCCATGTTAAGGAAGCGGACGTGCATCTTGGTCTCAATGTCTATCCCCTGCCAGATCTGGAATGGACGAGTAGCGTTAAGAGGGCTTCGTGCTGACCAGCCCAAGTCCTGGCCCATGTCCCCAGCCTCCGTCTGCCGCCACCAACAGATGTGCCAGCCGGGGAAAACCGGGGGCCTGGGAGCTAAGCGAGGAAGAGGAAATTCCATCTGCCTCTGCACTGGCTCATGTGGCTCCGACATTTGGATCCTCTCTGAGATTGTCACCACAAGTTATTATCAAGTACTGAGTCCAAGCTCTGAGCTCCAGGACCTCCGACTCCCACCCACCACTTAAGGCTCTGCGATTTTCATGCAAATTCCTTAACCCCCATCACACCTCCGTTGCACCAGTCATGCTGAGACCACCTCCTGTGCTGCCCACAGCACAGGACATTGGGAGTTGGGGGGTGGGGACGGAGCTCAGATGCAATCAACCATGGAAGTGGTCTGTAAACTGTTAAGGGACGTGCACTTGTGAGGCTTCATGAAGCCATCAGCGTTAATGAACAGGTCACGACAGTTTGGTCTTTATAACCTCCCTGGGATAGGAGGTCACCCATGCTCTCTGCAGACAAGCTCACACCCAGAACAAGTAATTTCCACCCCGAGACCATGTCCCTTGCCACATACCTGGTACTCGTACTGCAGTCACAGTCCATCTGGCCAGGGCCCCAGGGGGCTCTGAGGCTCCCAGACCCTGTCTGTCACTCTACAAAGCCCCACCCTTCCCGGGACTGTATGCTTGCCAGCTCCTTGGCCACTCAGGGCCCAAAAGGGCCCCAGGTAGAGAGATGGAGCGGAGGGACGTGGTGGGCGCTGACTTCTCAGGGCGTCCCTGCTTATGTAAGAACTTCAAACTCTCCCGCTGTCACCCACAGCATCTCCAGGGACACAGCCACGAGGCTGGAGACGGGGAAACCAAAGTGGCAGGGCGGCCTCGGCGCGATGCTTGCCACTGCCACACCCCCACGTCCCCAGGTGCTCCCGTCTCCTGCACCTGTTCTGGGTGGGGTGTGAGGAGGCAGAGGAAACAGATCTGGTTTCAGGTGAGCGGCTCTATCTTTGGGTGACAAGACATTCCCAGGGGAAGACACCTGGATACCTAGGATGGCTCCTGCTGAATGCCAGGTGGCGACAGGGTCGTGGAGGGCGCTGGTGGAGCTCAGGAAGGGGGGTGCTGGCCGGGCAGGAGGCCCCCATGGGCTTGGGCTTGGGGAGCACTAGAGGCATGGCGGGCGGCCAGCCTCCTGGGGGAGAAGCTGGTTTCTCAGGCAAAAAAAAGGAAACGCTTCCTATTTTCTCCCTGGCCAGCCCTGCGAAGAGCAACGGAGACCGCGGGCTCCGTCCAGGAGCACTGGGGCTGCCTGCCTGCCCCTCCCCCGCCTGCTTCCCTTGGACCTGCCGGTGACTGGCCAGGTCGGGGGTGATTCACAGCCTGGGAGAATCTCCATGGGATGTGGCTACCGGAGTCCTCAGCCCCGCTCCAGCTCCCCTGGCTTTCTTGTCTTCCTCAACTCCCAGAAAGGGCTTGGGGACGCTGCTGCTGGGGTGCTCAGGGCCAAAGTGCCAGGCAGGGGGCAGGGTGGGCTGGTCTCCCTGCAGCGGGGTGTCTGCCTGTCAGAGCAGCGAGGGGTCGCTGTGCCTAACCCAGAAGCGCGTCTGTAACAGTGACGGCCCGGCAAGGCTGAATGTCCACCAGGGGGCGCCGGAGAGTCCACCGGGGCGGGCAGACATGTAAAACGCTCCATCTAGGAGGCACAGCAGCAGAAAAGGGGCTCCAGGGTGTGCTTCTGGAAAAAGCTGGTACTTGTAGAGGCACAGAACATTCCAGAACCCTGGCGGCAGCTGTGAACAGGGGCTGCTTCTAAGAAGGCAGACTAGGGGCTCATATTAGGAGAGAACTGGCGTTTTCATTGTATGCCCTCTTACGCAGCGTCAATGGTTTTGACCATGTGTGAACATTATAATACTTTTCCAATAAAAATAAGTAAAACCAGTTTCAATTGTTTGAAAGGCCACGCCCAGGTTTGACCCCTTTCCACAGAGATGCCAATCCATTCCTGACCAGCCAGCTCCCCCTCGAGTCCCCGCTGGGGTCCCACCATGCCACTCCCTCGCCTCCCGGACACCCACCTTGAGGAAGTCTTCGAAGGTGATGCCCTCATACACCTGGTCAGGCTCCTGGGGACAGAGCACAGGGCAAGGTAAATGGTTGCTGTCAGGGGGCTTTGTACACCCCCCCCCCTGCCCGCAGAACATGGATGGTTGGGCCTGTTTAGGGAGACTCACAAGAAGAGGGAGTCATTCTGGATTGTTCGCATCCAGCCAGTCACCCTGAGCTCCCACGTCCCACCTTCCCTGGCCAGAGGGTGGGAGGGGTGGCAGGGACAGGCTCACCGGGCCCCCCCCCGTGCCCCCCACAGGGAAGACCCTGTGGATGAGGGTGGAGAAGCAAGGGGTGGGACAGAGGCACAGGGCTCCCCTTCCCCGCACGGCCACCTCTCTGCCGGTTCACAGCTACACAGCCACCAACAGACGTGTCCTGCCATTTCCTGGTCCTGCCTCGTCACCAGAGCGTTGATAAGAACCAGTTCTAGGTGAATCACAGACCACTAGGGAAAGGGGCCCAGGGGAGAGGGGCCGGCCTGTGTGCCCAGTGAGTCACTGTGACGTGTCTGGCCGTGGGGCCTCTCACCCGCTCAGTCACTGGCAGTGCCAGTTCCCATCTGTGTCTTTCCTGCCCTGGGCACACAGGGACCTCGTGAGGCAGCAGGCTCCTGCCACAGCCAAGTCTCCAGAATTGTCCCCCCGCAGCGCCCTTCGTAAGTGTGACAGACGGGCCGACATCCCGCGCCCATCAATAGGCACCAGCTAAATAAACCTCGATCATCTGTGGTATTGATCACCACGCAGCTATTAGGAAGGGGGCAGTCTATATACACACCGATCCGGAAGAGGCGCCAAGATATGTACACAGTGAAAACCACCAACACAAACAAGGAGCAGACGGATGTGTGCAGACGCCGTGCGTGTGCGTGATGTTTCCCTGCGCCGCTAACCAGGCGCCCCCATCTGCCGCGTGCACGTGTGGGGTCAGCACGGGGAATAGGAAAAGCCACGGCAGCGCAACTCCATTTTGTGGAAATCAAAAATAAAAGGCATACAGGTATACACTGGTATACATACATGTCTTTTAAAAATAAATCTTATCGGGGGGGTGGGGGGGGGGGAAACGCCGTCAAGGGTGGTTCCCTTCCGGGAGCAGGACTGGGGTGGATGGGGGAGGGGCAAAGAAAGACACCTCTCTCCCTGTAGCTCCCTGGAAGTTGTACCATCGTGTCTCTAAGGAAACAACAGCAGGCACTCGAGGTGTTCGCTACGTGGCAGGCACTGGCCCCAGTGCCTCACCAATGTCATTAACATTACCGCTGACTGATGCGGACCTCACAGCAGCCTCCTTCATGGGCTCTGTCCTTACACCTGGTTTACAGGTAAGGCCCCTGAGGGGCACCGCGACGAGGCTGCTTGTCCAGCTGGAGTAGCAGAGCCACCACCAAGAGCGTGGCAGGATTCTCCACCCTCTGTGGTTTCCTTTTGATACTTTTTAAAAATACAGAACGCAAATCAATAAATATTTTTAAATTTTCTAAACGCTATCGGTTCTCAGATAGCTGGGCCAGCCCTGTTCTTAGGACTCCCTGCCCTGCTCGCCCATGGGCACCGGGAGGAGAGGCCCTCCCCACTGCGGGCAACCCCCGGTTCCCAGCACAGCAAAGAGAGCTAATTATAGACAAAGCCCCGCTGGTCCAGGCTCAGGGCTGGAGGGTGGGTACTCGGTGGAAGGAAGGAGGGCAGAGGGGTTCAGGGAAGCACCCCAGGCTGACACCCCAGCCAAGCAGTCCCCACCTCAAGCCACTTGACTTTCCAGAGAGCACTCTAGAAAGAAATCACTGCCCCAGTTATTAACTGGCTTTGCAAGTCCATTAAAGTGAGGGTGATGGATCCTTTGTCTGTGGTGGGCGGTGCGGGCAGAAATATTAGCGTCCTCAGAGGCCAGGCAGTATTGAACCAGTGATGTGGCCGCCCCGCGCCCCTCGCCCATGTGTGCACAGAGATTGTCTGTTTCTCAGGCCGACGAAGACGACACAAAAAAATACTTTACGAGCACACACGGGATCCAAAAGTAAAGACAGCCGCTTGGGACACACAAGCCGGGAAGCCGGCACCGGCTCCGAAATGCCTCCACTTCTGAGGCTGTAGAGAATTTATGCCGCTCAGCAGCTGCCAGCTGCCAACAATTTCACTACAGCAAATTAAGAAAACTGTTGCCAATTGAAACTGGAGTGGGACAGGGAGCAATTTAAAGAAGGAGAGTGTAATTAAATCAAATGGGAATTTGGCTCGACAACCCGGCGGGGATTTCTGCTCTCCCCACCAGGTCACCAGCCCTTTCTGCAGTAGTTAATTTGCTGAGTGTGTGTGTGGGGGGGCGGGCGAAGGTGGGGGGGGTCACCAAAGCCAGCAGCCTCCTCCTGGGCCCGAGAAGCAGACGGATAAAATACAGGCCAATAAAATGACTGCAGTCTCCACCCCTGGGGGCAGGCCCCGGCCTGCCATGACCCCTGGTGACAGGCTTGGGGCATAAATACAGGTTCCAGCAGGAAACCACCCCTCCACTCAGGCTGTGGTGAACCCAAAGCAATCGAGGTGTCTGGAGTAGCCACTTTCAATACACAGGAGCGGAGAAAGGACGGCCTCAGGGGCGCACCCGAAACCCCCAGGGAACAAAGGCCATCGAGATGGTCACATGCTTGCCAGAGGGTCCCTGGGGTCTCAGAGCCACTGTGTCCAGGGCTTGCTGGGCTGACCCCCGACCTACAAGAGGGTGTCCACCAAGCACAGTCAAGATCACTCTTCCTTGAACTCCAGAAAAGCATTTCTGTCCCTGAGTCTTGGTTTCCCCGCCGGTAATGTATGTGAGGTGCCTCGCACAGTGCTAGCATGGGGGAAGCCTACAATAGGAGCACATGGGGACACCTGGCCTGCCCGGAGCCTCCGGGGGAGGACCCACAAGCACCTCCACGCGCCTGACAACAGTCTGAACACGGCTGGTGACTGGCTAGACGGTCCAAGTGCCAGTTATCACTCCACTTAGCATGTATTCACAACCCTCTGGGTTCAGTGGCTCTTCCCGGGGGACAATTCTGCCCCTCCCCTCTGACAACGTCTGGGGACATTACTGGTTGTCGCAACCTGGAAGGTATGGCTGGCATCTAGCGGGCAGAGGCCAGGGGAGCCGCTCAACACCCTCCAGTGCCCAGGACGCCCCCCGCCCCCACCAGACAGCTACCTGGCCCTGCATGTCAATAGTGCCAGGTGGAGAAACCCTACCCTAACACGCCCGCGTTCACCCCAGGCCGGACCAGCACAGCGGTTCTGAGAGCTGGCCCAGCCATTTCTACACCAGTGTGACCCTGGCAAGCCTGCACTTTTACTCATGCCCGAGTGGGCCTACCTGCCTTCCTCCCCCACCCCAGCTCTACCCCCGGCCCTCGGGCTGAGAAACGGTGGTCTTTTCTGAAGTGCCTCTGCTCTAATCTTTTTACATCTCTTCTGGGGCAGCTGGGGGGTGAGGGGGAGCCCCCCTCCACAGCCTACCAGCTCTAAAGGCTAAGCCCTTCTCCTCTGTTTCACCTACACGTGTCCCCCACCCCCTCACTCACAGCTCTTCAGGACCCCAGACCAGGGAGCCCAAGAAAGAGCTCCCTGCGGACCCCTGCCTCGAGGTCACAAATTCCCTCCGAGCCTCTCATAAATAACTAAAGTGAGCCCGTGCCGTACGCGGACCGGGCCTGCCACTGTGCCAGGCGCTGCCCGTGGGCCGGGAGGCTACACACCTGGTCTACAGGCCCCAAAGCCCGGCCTGCCCGGCCTGGCACAGCGCTCCCGGCGTTGGAATCTCTGGTGGGTCTCCACGCGGGTCAGGAAAGCAGGGAGGGTTTCTGAGCACTGCTCTGTGCCAGGCCCAGGGACAGTGGTGAGCAGGACAGGTGTGCTCTCTGTCCTGTCAGGCCTTCCAGAAACAGACTATGACCGGGGCAAGGTTATGACCAAGACAGCAGGGGAGGCGGGGGGGTAGGGTTCTGGGGTCCCCCCAGGAGGGCGCTCACCATCTGCCCCACGCAGACGCTGGCCGCCTCCATCATGGCCCCGTCGGCGATGGTGCGAGCCGACTCCTTCTCAATGTGTGGGTTTCCGGAGAGCAGCTCCTCCACCACCTGGCAGCGGGCAGAGACAGGGTGACCGCGGGCCTCCATCTGGGCTGCGGGGCGGGGAGGTGCCAGGAGCCCTGGCCGGGCGAGGAGCATACTTTACATTTCGATATTCTTCCAGGGTGATGCGGCCGTCGCTGTCCGAGTCATACATATGGAACAGAACTGGGGGGCGGCAGTGGGGAGAGGGGCTCAGTCAGGGAGGCAGGAGGGGAGCCCGGGTTCCCCCGCCACCCCCACCCTTCCCCACTGGGAAATCTATCTCAAACTGAGCAAAAGGCCCCCTCAAGAGTGAAACCTAAACGCCAAAGTCACAGGAGTCACGGGCAAAGGCCATGGGGCAGACTGACCACTTCCAGGTGGGTGACCTTGGGCAAATGGCCTGACTTCTCTGAGTCTCGGTTTCCCCATCTATAAAATGGGAATAACAACACGTCTTCTACACTGTATGGCAAGGGATCTGTGACTGGCAGCTGGTTACAGGTAAGGGCCCAAGATCTCCAGGCAACTATGAACATGGATGATGTGACAGTATTGTTGCCATGATGCCAAATCACTGTAATTTCACACTATTGATCCTGAGGGACCCCAGAGGGCGGCTGTCATCTTAGCCCTGTGGCAGGTCCTGGGCCCCACTGCCTACATCCCAGCACCCCAGCTGATCTAAGCTGCCCCTAACGGGCATGAGGGACATTAGCGCCTCCTCTGGTCATGCCCTTCTTGGTGACATTCACTTTGTTCCTTGGCTGCCATCACTCAGTACCCCACAGCCAGCAGAGGCTTCCTCTCTGCCCTCTGGGCTTGGCCTCAGGGAGCTTCCAGCTCACAAAGCCCCCAGCCCTGGGTTTGTCCAGTGCTGACCAGAGACACCCCGCTGTGCAAAGTGCAGCAAACATCCTTTCCTCGCATCCTCACACGACCCTACGAGGCCAGGGCTGCCCTGGGCCCATTTCTCAGACTGAGCTGTCAAAACTCATAGAAGTTGAGGCGTTTACCCACGACCACCCTGTTAAGGGAGAGGAAACCAGGAGTTTGGACCCGAGTCCGTCTGATTCCAGGGCTCCCATGACCCCAGACCTGGCCCTCCCTTGGTTTGGAGGCCACAGGAGGGCCGTGGGACACCCAGCCAGGGTAGTTCCCACCAGCTCTCACGTTCCCAGTCCAGAGCTAAATGCAGCCCAGCCCCCGTGTTTCCATTTTCCTGCTGACCAGTCTGCTTCGGGGTGGGGTAGAGAGGGCGGTCAGGAGTCATGGGAAAGTCCATGGGGAAGGGAGATGTGACGCCGGCCACCTGGGGTCCCTGTGCCACTGGCCGGCCTGGGTCACAGCCAAGCACGCTCCACGGGCCAGAGGCAGGCGGGGGCACTCCCGGGGCAGATCGCCCAAAGCCCCGCACAGGCCACTGTGAACCTGCACCCGTGGCAGCTCGTGGGCAAGGGAAGAAACACCCTTTCAGGGAACACCTCCTGTGCGCCTGTGTCATGTCATGGAGCCTCAGAACCTGCCCTGGGGTCACAACCGCTACCCCCACGCTCTGGTTCTGGGTCACACAGCCGCGTAGCACAGGGGCCAGATCAGAACCCAGGCCTGTTTTCACATCGCCCACAACCCGCTTCCATGCCCAGAAAAGCACCGGCTGATGAGGGGTGTCCACGCGGAGGCCGCCATGGGACGACTTAGGAGGACAGAGAGCCGCCCGCGGCGCCCTGTTGCAGGGGCTGTAATTGGGGCTGACCTCCCAGGGGATGGGGCTGGTGTCCTCTGCCCTACCCACCCTCCTGCTGCCGCACGGGGAGGGGCACCCACATCTCAGCTTCTCTCTGCGGCACAGCTGCACCTGATCCTCATCCATGGCGGTGTCGATGGGTCGAAAGTAGGCCATGATGGTCAGGAAGTCCTCGAAGTTGATCTCGTCGGCCAGGCCGCTGGGCGCCTTGCGCAGGTTCCTTTGGGAGCAGTGATGGGGGTTGGAAATGAGCCAACAGCTCAGAGAACTCAGCCCTTCCAGACACACAGTTTGCCCAAGATGGCTGTGCTAGCCTTGGGTTCTGTTCCCCAACAAGCTGCTCTTGGGGGCACCGGGGGCCCCAGGGGTTTGGCCCAGCCCCTGGATGGCCCTCCCAGAGCTCACCGCCCCGGGGCTGGGAGGAGACAGACCACTGCACAGCTGTTGGTGAGGGCTAGGGGCTCCCTGGGAGAGGTACGACGCACAGAGGTGGGCGCTCATACATGGGGAAACTGAGGCGCCGTGCAATCCAGTAACTCACCGAGATACATCTCCTGACCCTTTCCTTTAGATCGGGGTCACAGACTACAGCCCACAGGCCACACACATCCCACCTGCCACCTGTTTTTATGTTGTCAAATGGTTGAAAAATATTTGGGGGGAAAAAAAAAACCCAAAAGAATAATAGCATTTCATGACAAGTGCCAATTACATGAAATCCAAATTTCAGAGTCCGTAATTAAAGTTTTATTGGCACACAGCCACGCCCACTCATTTCCATATCATCTGTGGCAGCTTTCAGGCTACAGAGGCTGAGTCGAGCAGTTGTGACAGAGACCACGTGACCCGCGGAGCCTAAAATATTTATTCTCTGGCCCTTTTACAGAAAAAGCCTGCCGACTCCTGCTCTCTACCAGCTGTGTGAAGCTCTCGTGCTGTGATCAGCTCTGAGTAATCTGTGTACTACCCAAGTGTGAAGTCCATCAATGATTTCAGGTTTGTTTGTTTTAACAAATCCAGGCAGGTTTGAGGCTGTCCCTATCCGTGTGCTTTTCTGAAGGGGCAAGGAGGGGTTCATGTTCCAGGCGGGGCTCAGGGGAGCGTATGCAATGCCGGGTCACACAGTGGGTGCTCCGCAAACGCATCTGAGGGACATCCCTGGCGAGTCCTGGCACAGAAGGACCGTTGCTGAGACAACAGCTTGGAGACGACCCTGCCCAAAAACAGACTCCCGAGACCCACTGTCGCTAAACCCTCCTCACTAGCTGACATCGACCTTCACAGTCTGATCAGGTCGTCATCAGGCTGACAGGCTGAGGGTGCCCCACCCTCAGCCTACATCCTTGCAAAGGGGTGGTTCTCCCACTGGCCCCGGAAGACTCCCAGTTCAGAGTGAGCGCTGAATATTTACTTGGGTCCCACCCAGGTCATGACTGTCCCTCGGCTTAGAAGAATACGGGGTTCTGTCTTGAGGGCCCATCTACTCTCTTTCAGGTACCGACTGCCCCTGACGCGTGCACCGCACTTCACACTTCACAGATCTCACTCCACCTTTTTTGCATCCCAGGGGATTTTTCCAGAAAGAGGTGGATCCTAAGCCTGGAATAGGGATGGTGGATCGTGAACCTACAAATCTGAGAGAGGATACGCGGTCTCCCCCCAGACTCAGGAAGCCCAACCTTTGAGTGTTTTTCTCAATCCCCACTTAAATCTTCGATCTTATCAAGCTTCCCAGTGCTCCTCCCGACAGATTCTTAATAATCTCCAAGTTTCTGCTGTCGGGGGCACAGAGCAAACGTACAGGGCATAAAAATAGCCCCTGGAATTATCGGGCTCCTCAGAGGCACTTCTTACTGGGTGAGGCTGGCTCCCTGGTCCTTCCCAAGTAGCTAAGGTTGTAGCAAGACGGGATAAGATTAGCTCTGGGGAAAATGTGATCGGCCCGGGGAAGGCAGGCCTTGTGTCCTTCTCAGACGAGGTCGAGACCCAGGCAGCTTCGCCATTCGGACCCGATTCTGGGGAGAGGGTCCCTTCCCCTCCTAGTGCCCCTGGGAGGTCCGCACGGACCAACAGCATGGTCTCCAAAGGCAACCTGAGTGCAGAAGCCGAGGAAACCCAGACTCAGCGCCTGGAGACAGACCTTCCTGCTCTCCACTCCTATTTCCTAAGTGGGGCCCCCAAGGCCAAGGTCAGCGGATGGAAGAATGGGGGAGCCATTCAAATCTGCAACCCACTCAAGAACAGAGCAGCTCTGGGCTGTTTTTGCAAAGATGCTGCCTGAGAGCAATATTGTCTCGTCCTTAACTTCCCAATGACCCTGTAAGCAATGGAGCTCCTGGGGATGGGGACAGACTCTGCTCAAACTGCCCTCCGAGACAGGCTCCTGGGTTCACTGTCCTGTTTCTGGAGGGTCTGGGGAAGCAAGGCTGATGCTGGTATTTCTTGAAAGTCCCATCTCCAGCCACCCCTCGGAGGCCCTACCTCCCCTCCTCATCAGAACTCACAGGACCGGCTCTGAAGGAGGTACAGGAGCTGACGGCCCCTTAGCTGCAGCCCCGCAAGGTATTCTGGGTCCAAACCACAGGGGGCTTTCCCTGTTATTCCGCCCCTCCTCGGTGACTTTCAGGCGACCTGCCGGGTCACCCAGTGCCTCCTTTTCTCCACACCCACTTTCTCTAAGCAGCTGCTAAGGCTGAGGCCCCAGGACCCTAAGCGGGGAAGGGCTCTCGCCACCCCCTACCTGGCCACTGTCCTCTGCCTCCTGCTCATCACCCCAAACCACTGCTTGATGGCAACGCCTTCCAGCAGGCACATGAGCTGCCCCTGCTGCAGACCCGAGTCCCCTCGACTCCCTACCCCCCAGGATGCCACGTCCTCCTCCGATCTCTGGGACCTTCCTCGTCCCTCCTGGCCCCCAGGGACCTGGTCGGGCCTCCATCATCCCAGTGGGACCCTCCAACCCCGCACTCCCCGCGCACCCAGGATGAGCTTTGCAAAACGCAAATTGGATCCTGTTGCTCCCCAGCTTGACACCCTGCAGAGGCCCCCCCCAGCTCTGGGGTGACCCCCAAACCCCCACCCATTCTCCCAAGCCCCAGGAGGCTCGGTCTCAGCCACCCGCCCACCTAGCCCGGCCCTCACCACCCCTTCCCCCCACACTCCCCTCCTCAGGGGCCCTGCAGGCTTATTTCAATGTCTCCCTTCCAGACACTGCAACATTCCTTGACTGACTGATGTCCCTTCCTCCATCCCTCAGGTGGCACTGCACCTGTGCCAGTCACCCCACAGCTGTCATAACTTTGACCCCTCAAAGTAAATGGGAGGGTGTCCCTAATGCCCCCACATGCCATCCCAAAGTCAGGGCATGCCTTCTTCACCTGTACCAGAGGGAGGTTTGGGCTCCAGCCCGCTTCCCACGCCCTGTCCCCTCGGCAGAGGCAGCACTTGAGGAAAGCCACCAGCAGACACCTGAATCCCATCCTGAGAGCTGCACACACGGTTCCCACAGGTGACAGCTGAGCGCCAAGTGACCTCAGGCCAGATTTTTTTTTTTTAAAGGAATAATTACATGTAGTGAAAGGCACACATCTTGAGTTTGGACAGATGTGTGCACCTTTGACAGCCACACCCATCAGGACACAGGACATTTCTCATCCGCCCCAGGAGTTCCCTCCTGTCTCTCTCCGGTCTAACCACAGTCCCTCACAAGGGGCAGTGAGGGCCCAAGAACCAGGCCTACCAAGGCCTTTGCCCAGGTGGCTCCCAAGGCCCCGGAGAAAAGGGTTTGAGGGTATTGGGGCGATCGTCCTTTCCTCAGTTTACCTAGTATTGTGGGGGACACCCCACAGAAGACTGGGACCCTGAGGCCTGGCCAACTTCACAAGTGACCTTATCTGTAAGGAGCCTTTTGGAAACAAGCCACACACACACACACACACCACCCCCACCCCCTTCTCATATCAGGCACCCACGAGGCTCTGGTCACCCTCGACCTTCTTCCTGTGATGCCTCCAACTCTGGTCCCCAACAGCCTATGTCAGCGCCACATCAGGGGCCGTGTCTCCCACGCGTGCCTCCTGCTCTGGTCCTCTGCCCGCCAAAGAGGGCACCTCAGGAAGAGCCAGGATTAAAAGGAGGTGAAGGTGGGGGTGCTGAATTCTACTCCCATCTTCACTACTGACCATGTGACTTCATACCTTCCGCCTTTGGCAAATGTGACAATGTGCTCTGAAGATTCCTGGGGCACTGGCTCTCTCACCTCCACCCCCAGATCCAACCTCCCCAGGTGTCTCAAAGCCACCCACTGCTCTCCACCTCCAGTCAGCAGCCCTGCCTCCAGCCTGGGGAACCGCAATACATCCCCTCCCTGGCCTCTCTGTCCCCTACAACCCACTGGTAGCCAGAGTGATGTCACCGCTGCAAAATGCAAACCTGGTTCACGCTCCACACCTAAAAATCCATCAGTGCCCCCCACTGCTGCTGCTAGGTTGAAGTCAAGACCTCTCTTGCTGGTCTAGGGGACGTAGGATGCTGCCCTGCCCTCCCCACACCCCTCACCATGCCCGGCCCCTCTGTGCCCCAGCCAGGTCTCCTCTCTGCCACTCATACTAGCTGTGCCTCTGGGCCTTTGCACATGCAGTTCTGTTTTCTTGAGCACCTTCTCTCCCTGCTTTGCCTAGTTAACTCTTGGTCACTCTCTCCTTAGGTCTCGCCCTACAGGCCCTGCAGGCCTCTGCACCTTGTGGGTCAAGCTGAGGACTCCATCCCCCACTATCCTGTGAATAGGTGAGGCTCAGGGAGCCCATGTGCCTGGCACAATCACGGTTGAGCAGTTCAGGCTCACACAACTTGAAACGAGTCAGGGAAGTCTTCGCCCATCTTATGGTCGTCCCAGGCCCGTTCCCTTCCTTCCTCTTTCTGCCCGTTCTCCCTGTGTGTCAGTGATCTCTGCAGATACAGGGCGTCAGGCCTGGGGAGGGCGTACCCACCCCTGCCGCCTGACAGAGCCTCAGGCTCGGTATCTGCATCCGGTCACATGAGTCTTTCAACTCCAACAACACTGGGCATTTGGCGGCATGAGCTCTGGTCTGAGCCTCAGCTCTGGGGCACCCACCAAGGTACACCACCCCTTCTGTGCCTCAGTTTCCCCGTCTGTAAGCCAGGGAGATGAGCTCACGACAGCTAACCTAGTGCTTTCGCATGCATCATCTCTGTGCACCCTCACAGCAACCACGTGAGGCAGATGTTGTTATTACCTCCATTTTATAGATAAGGAAACTGAGGCCGCCTCCAAGATGGCCTCCACTGATCCCTGCCTCCTGGTGTTCACGCCTCTGCTCAGTCCCGTTTCCAAGCGTGGGGTGACCTAGTGACTCACTTCTAATGAAGAGAATACAGCACAAGGGATGGGCTATCCCTCGTGAGAGCTGGCTACAAAACGACAGTGGCTTCCATCTCCATTGCCCAGTCTCTCTCCTTCTCTCTGTCATCCGGACATCTCACCCTGAAGGAAGCCAGCAGCTGCCATGGGTGAGTAGCCCCATGGGGAGGTCCCTGAGACGCCACCTGCCAACAGCCACGAGGGTGAGCTCGGAAGCACAGCCTCCTCCAATCGAGTCTTCAGATGACTGCAGCCCCAGCTGACCCTGAGCCCGAGAACCCAACTAGTTTGCACCCAGATCCCTGATCTACAGAAACGGTGAGATAATAAATTGTCATTGTTTTCAACTGTTAAGTTTTGGGATTATTTGTTACGCAGCCACAGCTAACTAATACGAAGGCCTAGAGAGATTGAGTGAGCTGCCCAAAGTCACCCAGCTACAAATCCAGACTCGTCTGACCCAAACCTGCGCTCATAGCTCCTACCCAACACAGCCCCCTCCTCGTCTCTGCATCAGCTCGAGGGGCTGTTCTGAGCACAAGAGGACGGTGAGACGTTCAAGGGCAAAATGCTCCCAGAAGGACAATGTCAGCTGCCATCAGGCGACTCCAGGACGAGGACCCACCTGTTGTCGAAGAAGGCACGGATGATTTTGGATCGGATGGGGTTGAGCTCCAGGTCAGGGACGTTGTTGAAGTGCTCCTTGCTGGGTTCCAGGATGGAAAAGCACCGGGAAAAGGGGGAGAAAAAAAAGCGGATGTCAGATGGCATCTTGACCACTTGTCGGGCTGTATGTTTGTTTGTTTTTTATCCCGAGCAGGCCCCATGAGAAGAGTTCAGAGTTCAGAGACCCGACTGGAATAGGCAGCCCTGATCTGCCTCCTCCTCTAACTCTTGGACAGGAAGGATCAGGGAGGTTTGGAGGCTCAAAGATGCTTCGGGGAATCCGATAAATGTCCCGGAAATTCACCTGCAGGAAAATGCAAGGACACAAGAATTGCACCCCATTCCAAGGGGTCAAAGGCCACTGAGGCTCATCGTAGCCCCCAGGTTAGGGAATCCCGGCTTCGGCCATTCTGGAGTCAGGGCAGCAGGTTGCCGGCTTGGAGATTTAGAAAACAGTCTGGCAGGTCATCGACGGGTGAAATGTAGTTACCATGTGACTCAGCGATTCCACTCCTAGGTGTATCCCCGAGAGAGAAATGAAAACGTGTGTCTACATAGAAACACGTGCATGAACGTCCATAGCAGCATTATTCATAGCGGCCCTAAAGTGGAAACACCCCAGATGTCTGTCATAAATGGAGGCTATAAATGGATACATGGATGGATAAAATGGAGTCTTTCCATACAATGGAAAAGGGTTCATCCATAAGAAGGAATGGAATAGGGATACATTCTGCAACCCAGATGAAACTTGAAAACATGATGCTAAGGGAAAGCTGCCAGACACAAAAGGCTACCTAGTATATGATTTCATGTATGTAAACTGTCCAGACTAAGGAAACCCATAGAGGCTGAAAGTAGATTAGTGGTTACTGGGAGCTGGGGGGCTGGGAGCGATGGGGAGTGATAGCTAAGGTTATGGGTTTCTTTTGGGGATGATGAAAAGTGTCTACAAATTGACTGGTTGCTGGACGCTTAACTTTGTGGAAATACTAAACGCCACTGAATTATACATTTTAATGGGTGAGCTGAAGGGTGCGTGAATTTCATCTCAGCAAAGCTGTCAAAAACATTAATAAGGATGCTGACTTGGGACCCGAGAGCGTGAATCAGACACAGCGGCCCTGTCCCTGGGCACAGGCGTCCCTGGGTCCTTGAGGCTGTGGATTTGCTGGCATGGAGGCAGGAAAGTCCCTCACCTGCCCGACCTTCCCACATAAGGCCGTGCTTTGTTCTCACAATCTGCTGCTCCCTGCTCACTTTTTTTTCTTCAGCTCTGTAAACTTCAGCGGGCATTGGCCTTGGAAGAGACCCAGGGCACAGGCTGGCAATCCCGGGGAACAAGGGGACACGCCCAGGCGGGGAAGTAGAAGGATATCAGGTACTTGAAACAAGAATGTCCAGGGGTGGGGTATGGCTCCGATTCAGCACTCAGAACGAGAAGAAACCCAGGCAGGGAGGGAGGAACTGGCACGTACACAGAGGATTCAGCGCTGTTTGAGTTGAAAGGTTCTATAAACACACAGCTGGCTCCTGTCCTGCCTCCACCTTCCAGAGAGGACCCAGCCCCAGGCCCGGACAACCTCTGTGTTCTCTGCCTCCTGGCTTCCTCCTGGCTGTCTCTTTCCCAGCACGCTCAGCGTGCCTTGCTTTCGGTGTCTGGCAAAACTCAGGAGCCAGTGGAAGAGGACCCCAATGTTTTAGCTTCATGAGAGCTCGGTTCTGAAGAAAGGGGCACACACAGAACAGCTGGCCTGGAGGGATAGAATATTACTCAGCTGTAAAAAGGAACGCGGTACGGACACGCGCCACAGCATGGATGAGATTGCAAAACAACATGCTCAGCTGATATGCAACGGCCACAATAGGGAAATTCACAGAGACAGAAAGCAGACCAGTGGTTGTCAGGGGCTGGGTGACAGGGGGTGATGGCTAATAAATGCGGCGTATCTTTTTGGGGCGACGAAAATGTTCTAAGGTTGATTGAATACTTTAAATGGGTGAATTGTACAATATGTGAATGCCACCTCAATAAAGCTGTCAACATAGTTCCCTAAAATCTCTTAAAAAAACAAAAAGAGCCCCTGCACTGTGACGTCATTTATGGGAAGAACAAAAAGCAATGACACTTAACCTATGCAGCTTGGAGTTGGGATAATGGCTAGCTATCTTTGGGGATGGTGACAAAGAGGGAGCGTGACGGGGATCTTGGGGACTGAGAATGGTCTGGGTGTGAGGTCTGTGCAAGCTCATCTCACTGTCACCTGTCACTTTTCTCTATGCACAGTACACTCCCCACGGCACTCGCCAGGCCCAGCCATCCCCCATCCCTTTTCCTCGTGACACAGGAGGAAACAGACAGAATGCCTCGGCCCCCCGGATGGGAATCAGTGAAGTCCAAGGGGCCATGTGGCGCTTGAGACGGGATATCGGGAGAACAGAAAGGAAGCAACTGGCTGCTATGTGCCCCGTTAGCACATGAGACCCCCAAGCGCGCTCGGGCTTGCACTGGCCAGGGAGTCATGGCTACTGCTAACCCTTCTCCAGCCTCAGTTTCCTCCTCTGTGAATTGGGTGCAACTCTAGCACCTGCCGTATCAAAAGGGATGTGAAGACAAGCACACCCAGGGGCTGGTCACGCTCTGCCCCCGACCAGGCACTTGGTCTTGGGTGAGCCACAGCCACGTGTCAGAGTCCCAGATTTTTCACCTGTAAAATGGGGATAGTGGGAATACCCGGATAAAATATCACGGGGCTAATGAGATGATTAAATGATATAAATGCCTGTTAGGTACTTAGCATGCTGCCTGACTGTGAGCTCTCTATTTTAAAATTTAAAAAAAAAAATAATAATAATAATAATAATAATAATAATAATAATAGCTATAACTCTCTATGTATGCCCAAGGTATCAGGTCCTGTTCTAAGAGCTTTACATTATTATCCTATAAGGTAGGAACTTATCTCCATCATAAAGATGGGAAAACAGAGGCTGGGAGATGGAGAAACTTCCTACTGCTAAGAATGATACCAACTGACTTAGGCAGCACGTGGAAACCCCAGTGGCAGCAATGACACCTGAGTCAGGGCTGGCGGGCTGGTCCTCGGGGACACTCCCAATTATTTGCCAACCTCCCTTCCTAACAAGTTGGGCGCAGGCCTTGCGTCCAGAGCCTGGGAAAGGCTAGCCACAGTTCAATGCCCCATAAAAGTTAGTTTCGGTCTTATTTTCTTTCCTCCCCACCTGCCCCTCAGGGGCCCGCTGGGCTGGTTAGACCGGCTCAGGGGAAGGTATCTGAGCCATGGGGACAGATCACTGCTGTCAGGCCAGAGCTGATGCTCGGTGGCCAGCGGGGGAGGTTCACCCACAAGGGTTCCAGGGACACACAGCTTCTATGCCTCCCCAAGGGAGCTGGAGCCCTGAGGTTTTACAGATTCCCCCTGGCACCCCGAGGGCTTTCTCTGTGCCCGGCTGTGCTAAGTGCCCTGTAAGTACAGCCACGTTTATTTGCCCACATGTGCCCACGACCCCCACTGAACAGGCAAGAAAATAAGGCCCAGAGAGGTGCAGGGACGAAGCCACCATCACACAGCCAGGAGGGGAGCTTCGAATCCTGCGCCGACCGCCCTGTGCACGTCCTCATACTCGCTACTTCCTTTGGGTTGCAAGGTTTTAAAGAGAGAGAGACGGTGGCAGAGATCTCCGTGGGGCCTCTGCTCCCACCCAGCCTCCAGAGGCCCCATCCGGGACTCAGAAAGAGGGCTCGACAAGCATCCGGCCCACACGGGAAGCACAAGACTGAAAAAAATCCACTGAGGCAGGCTGGGTTCTTCCTCAAGCCTTGTGGTGTGGGTGGGTTTCCGGCGGCTTTGAGGTTCAGCTCAACTGCAAAGTTCTCTCTGCGGGTTTGGGGCTGCCCCCAGCCACCACCAAGGACTCCTGGCGCCAGAGGTACACAGTGAGGCCACACATGCTCAGCCTAGAACTCTGGCCTCCCCGCTCTCCGCTGGCTCAGGGCTCCCTGCAGCACCCAGGGGGCCACTGGGGCCTTTGCAACATGGGCCAACCCCCTCCCTGCATTCACTGGTTAGCTTTTGATATTTCCCACATGGATGATGGGATATGAAACAGTGGGGACACTGGGTCCCCATAGGGGCTCGTGAAGGAGGGACTGCGTCTCATCTAGCGTGTGTCTTCCCTGAGCTGCTCCAAGTGTGGTCCCAGGACCAGCAGCATCACCTGGGAGCTGGTGAGACATGCAGAGTCTTGGCCGGCCCCAGACCTGCCGTGTCAGAACCTGCCTTTTAACACGATTCCTGAGGGATTCGTGTGCTAGTTAATGTTTGAGAAGCACCGGCCTCTTGACTTCCCAGTGCTAGGAAAGCCCTCGCCTCACCAGGCGGTTCTCCCATCCACAGGCTTCCGCATAAAAGAGGCTGGCCGGGGAGCCCTGGTCCCCCTGCACCCCAGCCCCCGGCCCCGTGGCAAATGTCTCCTTCAAAAGCCCGGGCAGCGTCCCTGCCACCATCCGTCCTCCTCTCCTCCTGTAACTGCTCATCCCTGAGCCCCGCGGTCCTCCCAACGCCTGTCACTTAATTATGACGGTGGGAGCGACAAGTAGTCCCACACCTTCCACGTGGCCTCAGCAGCACACGGGACAGACACATCCCTCCTGGGATTCTAGCAGGGAGACAACACAGGCGGAAAACGGGGTGTCTCGGGCAGCGACAGGCACACTGCAGGCAGACTGAGCAGCGACGGGGACAAAGGGCTGCAGAGAGCTGGTGAAAGTCTCAGTGGGGATGGTCAGGTGGCGCAGGTGACCCAGGAGCAGAGACCTGCATAAGGCGAGTCCTCAACCCCAGGGGACACTTGGTACGATGTCTGGAGGCATTTTGAGGTGTCATCCTGGGAGAGGGTGCTGCTGGCATCCGGGAGGGGGAGACCATGGATGCAGCTCAACACCGCATGCATACATGACAGCCACCTCCCCTCCACCTCCCCGAAACACTCCAGCCTCAAGTGCCAATGGAAACCCTG